AAGTATGTGGTGTTGCAGTTAGGACGATTCCCTCCATGATTTCCGGAATTGCTGATTTTAACGAAATAATTGTAACAATACATGTATTTTGTAATGTGTGTATCAAGCGTTATTTTGTTGAAACATCAAAATTAATAAACATATTATATTATGAAATTATCTTAGATAAACTTTCACACTGCCAATTCATGAAATTGCTCAGATTATTTTTTTTAACTTCTTGTAAATGTGCATTTTTTCCTTGATTGTTAGGAGCTTATTTCCCAGATCGTGGTAAATTTTTGTTTTTCTGTTTCTTTGTACTTGGCAAAAGACTATTATACTATCATCGAGTTGCGGCACATTTTCCTTGCAGTTCGCTTGACATTCATAATTAAAAATTACTATTTTACCCTTATCAACGCCAGCCAACTGGATACGATAGATATCATAGATATTTACATCTAATAGTGTATGTTTAAGAGATTTAAGTTTCATATATTTGTCCATGTTCGTTACAACGCAAATCGGGCGGCGACTGTTGTATCGGTTGTACAAGAATTTTCAATAATTTCATTCGATAAACTGATTTTTTCAATCCTATTCCTGAGTTTGCTATCGCGTTGTATGCCTGAATATCAGACACCACCAAGTACATGTGCTAAACATTATGATTTTGAATTCCCTTTGGTATACATAGTTATTTTATTATTTTCCATTAAATGAATAAGATTAAAACTGAACTAAAGTTACATAGCTTAAATAGTTCTATTTGTTACTTTATCATTATAAAATAAATAACCAAAAAAACTACAAAGAAGCTTTTTTCGCTGTGCTCATATTTCCCTTTGCAGAAGAAAAGGTTACAACTAAGTTACTTCTAATTCTCTTGACTTGAACCACTGAAAACCCACACTCATTAACGAGAAAATTCTCAGCGGAATGATATGTTTTATGAAACTCGACGAGCGTTTGGATCATGGACTCGTAACTAATGTTTTGATTTTTTTTTTAAGTTATGTTTTATTTTTGAAAAAAGCAGGAGATAACAAATTATATATACCTTGCAGTTTGAGGAGATTCAGATTTAGAGACAGTAGAATTTTCTAATTTCCCATGCTCATCTTATATATTCAAAAAAGATTTTTAGTCATAAACGCAATATACCAACAATAAACTAGAATAACTAAAAGAAAATACTCACCAAACTTTCCCGCCATTGTCATCTCATATTCACGCGCAACAACTTCATCGGAAACACCTGCCAATTTCAACGCTAACATTACAAACAATCCAGTTCTGTCACGACCCACGCTACAATGTATTACAAATGGAGTGTAAGGGTTTTCGAGAACGTGGCGAAATATTTTGGCGTAGGCTTCTGCTCCTTCTTTTAGAGCTTGGAGAAATCCTGATTTTTTTTAATGTAAGAATAGAAATCGTATAAAAGACAAATAGAAACATGACTAAAAATTATTGTACAAATAAATACCCAATGCAATTTCTTGTAAATTCCATGTATTCCATGGTTCGAATAACTCATCTGATGTATATTCAGTTTCTACGAAAACAGTTGTTTGCACAATTCCGTCAATGTTTCTAAATAAATAAATAAATCGTGAATTTCGGTTTTTGGAATTTCAAATAAACATAAATAGCATAGAAAAAATCTTACTTGATGTCCTGTGTCTCAAGTTCGGAACTAACGCTCGAACGAATATCGAAAATCTTTTTAATGTTTAGTCTATGAAGTGCTTTTATTCCTTCTTGCGTAATTTTTGTTAACCTTTTAAGTAAAGAACATGGAAAATATATTAAAACAAATGATATTAACTATTTAAAAGAAAAATACAAAAAAATGCTTACTCTCCACATTTAAACATATATCTCTCACGAACAAACATTTCACTAACTCCGTCAATGTTAGCGCCATCACCGTTAACATCCGTGCACCTCCACCCACCAAAATCACAAAAATTCAAGAACCCTTCAACGTTAATAACGCGCGGAACCACACCTCCATCCAACCACCGATTCCGTTGAAAAAATCGTTGAGTTAAAGATGTGGTGGAAAAGTACTCACAAATCTCGGCGACTATCTCCTTAGTGTGATCTTTATAAGTGTGTGTTGCGCCAATAATGAATTTAAGAGTGTGGTTTGGAATCAGGTTTGCATATTTCACGGCATTTTCGAGTGAAATTTGCTTTACGTTGATATGTTCGTTAGATGAATGCGTATATTTAATATTAAAAAACATGTTTTTTGATATTACACAGTAAACCTTCACTTTAACGAATGCAAGTTCGTTTAAAACGAAGATTATATAATTAGATCTATTGTAATAAAGTCCAGATAAATAAATAAATATCATTTATAGTTTTTGTCGAAACCAAGCCTTTCGTTAAAGTAAAGTTCACTGTGTAGCGTTTACCTCGTCTGCAGTACCATGAATAGTTAAAACAGAGGTACTTTCTGGCATAGTTGCAACTATTTATTTTTTTTCAATAATTTAAAATCAAATCGATTAATTCTAGCCGAAAGAAAACAAAAAACTCAAAAATACGATAACCAAAAAGATATTTATTACCTAAATGAACAGGAGAATTAACAAATCGTTTGACATGTTCCGTAGTAGTTCGAATCTTTAAGGTCTTGTTCGCACTTTTCATCTCCCAATCGTAAGTCCCTCTTGTCTCTAATGCATCGTGAAGCTGTTTCGGTAACATTTTCAGGTAATCTGACAAATAATACATTCCAGACACGTTTACTATGTGAGGTAATGTACGGTTCCTTGTTGCTGCGTATGAGAGAACCGTTGCTGCCGCTGTTTGAAATTTTGGAGATTTATGGAATACTTCACTTATGGTTTAAAATAGGTTGCTAGCTTAAAAGGATCATTTACCTTTAGAGTGTGCTATTATTGTAAAAGGTCTATACCCGTACTCTTTAACAAGATAATTAAACACGGTTTCGATATCATCAAAGTCTTCCTATTCGAATTAACAGAGCATTTAATTAAATTCTTTTAATGTTAATGATTTGCTTTATTTGTAATTTATTTGTAATTAATTACCTGCAAACTTTCAAACAATGCTTCACCTTCGCTATCACCACTTCCACGAAAGTCAAATCGAAAATTATCAAATGGAAGAGATTTGGCCAGTTGTTCTTGGTAACAGTAATTTTTGTGCCCTATGATTTTTTTAAATTCGATTTATTCAACCAAGTGATCTTTATGTATTAGATAAATCAACCTAATTTATTTTTTACCAAATAACCCATGGCAAATCAACCCGATTCTCGCACCACGAGTACTAGACACCAATGAAGCAGACGGTTTCGTTTCATTCTGTTCTAAAATACCAACGATCACTTGGCCAATCGTATTTTTTATTCGAATTTCTGTTGTTTTGTTATTATTGACTGCTAGCAGTTTTTGTTCATCTGTTGTTATTTTTGATGGTGGTGGGTTTCTTGACATTTTTTATCATAAAATTTTTTGCTTCTATACCTTACATTACACAACATTATCGTTACATGTAACATGTATTTGTTCAGCCGACCGATTTGCATGTGTAACATGTTACGACAAATCTCGTGATTACGGAATATTCTGAAGTTTCTTAATCTTATAACGAAAACTTTAAAAATAATTACATGTAATTAGTATTGTCTCGCATAGAACCCGGAAAAATTCCTACCTTATAATATTAACGTTAACGTCATCGCTTCCCAGAAATCTAGTTTCTACATGTATTTGTATTTTACATCCCTATTTGCGTGATAATGATATAATTTTTTTAACGTAATATTATTTATTTCCTCTACACAAATTAAATTATTATTTTATAATATAAATATCTTTTTCTTTTGTGAAAATTCTTACTAAAATTTCTATTTGTGCTCTAATGACCCGCAAAACCTGTAACCATGAATTGTAATTTAAATAGTATAATAACGAAAATTGAATACCTTTTGAAAGTCAGAGAGACAGGCAGTGTGTGGTTTGAAGAAACATAACTAAATCAAATTATTTTAGCTCTTATCTAACTATATTTCGATTTTTTATTTCTTTTGTGCCAAAACGAAATTGTTAGCTTTATTTCTTTGGTACTTTAACAAAATCGAAGACTATATATTTTTACCATAAAAAGCATTTGCTTGATTATCTGGTTCGATGATTAGGGTATTTGATTGAATTTTGCTTTTATTATTTTGGAATAACCTATTTTGGTTTGAATTGGAGATCATTTAAATTCTGTTAATAAAACTTTGCAATTAAATTATTAGATATTGGAATTTATTTAAATATAAAAATTTTTATTATATATCTTTTATAAAAAATTTTTTACTAATAATAACTTTTTTTAATTA